GTTTCATGACACAAGTAGTTTCGCTCAAGACGTGATCTGGCCGTATCGACCTCCTTTTGTTGTTTGGAGGCGGGAGCCATTAAGTAATAAGAAGAAGAAGAAGAAGATTAACGAGATTATGATTAGTTATGATTAGAGATTGTCGTAAGTTCGTTAGTTAAATGTTCATGATTATTGATCGTCGAATACGTGCATTTTTGTTTTTAAAATATTTTTAACGTTTATTTATTCCGTAATCCTTTTCGAGGTTATGGAAATTACTTTTCTTTTGTATATTGTTAATAGAGAGGTTAGACTAGAAGAGAAATAAAGCATTTTTCTTTTAATATTAATTTTTTTCAGTGCGAGGAAAAAATGGAAGACTTTGTACCAACACGTGGCTCCCAAGTCAAGAAAACTGCGACGAGTGATTACATATCTGTGAATTATACAGCGCCAAAGAAAAAGGTGAAATCTGCAGATGACTCAAATAACAAAGAAAAGCTTGAGGAATCTACGAAACAAACACCTGCTGAACTAAAATAACATCAAGAAAAAGAAATGAAGAAGTTGCGATATGAGATTATCAAATTTGGTATGTCTGGTTTCGAGAAACCAAAGGCGAGGAGAGCCAAGGTTGAGCTCGCTATTAGCTTAGGTGCAATACCTCCCAAGAACAGGAGGATGAATTACAAAACATTAAAGACGCGTCGAAAGATAGAGAAAGAGAAGAAAAAGGAGGAAGAACACAAGTCTGGATTCACCAGTAGTTTGCTCAAACCTAAGTCTAAGAAAACACGGAAGGATAGTGGTATTCTACAAGTTTATGGGAAAGTACCAAAAGATATGCCCAAGAAGAAAAGCTGAAAGTAATAAAAACAGTTTCTAAAACATGAAACTTTATTAAAACTCTATACGAAATTGGTAGAGTAAAGTAGAAATATGTTTTAAATAAAATATCTTGTAAGGACTGTTAAGAATAAAAACTATATTTGTAATTAATAATTACAATTAATTTATTAACTAGATATGTTTTAATTAGATTGTACACAAATTAATTTTTAAAAGAACAAATTAATAAAATTTGCAAATTCAAAATAATACACAATTTGTGTTGGTAGTTTAGGAAAAGGACAAGGATATATGAAGAAAAAGAGGCAAATTTATAACTGCAAACATTTAAAATATTTTCTGTTGATTCATCGCTTTTTCATTACAACATCAACTATCTATTGTCTAACAATAATATCTCTTCTGCATGTTGTATACTATGTATGAAGAATAACAAGTAATAAAATAATATATTTTTATATAATATATATATGCCTTTTTTTATATGATTTTTTTATATTAATTTTTTTTGGGGCCAGCCTTGAGCTTTGTAATATATAGGATATAATGCTCTCGTCTGCATGTATTTAAAATAGGATATATTCAGGTGTTCATACAGTTCACGCAATGCCATAATGGAATGATTCGGCATTCTGGAGAACTGTACATTGATCTCTCGAAATGAAATCAGTCGAAGGCAACCGCAGTTGGAGCCACCTCTAGTAACATCTGCAGGAAGGCATTGACACCTTCTATAATCAGAAAACAAAACACAATATAAAATTTAAAGGGTTAGACCGGTGTGACCAACCGTAAAATTAGGTAATTTTTAAGCGTGGGTTGCCGAAGAAATAAAAAAGCTGCAGATTTATATTTTGGTACCTTATTCAAGTACACATTGAAGGTATAAAATATGCAAAATGAAAGGAAAAATAATAATCTTAACATCATTTATTAAATGTTGTGAAAGATCAATTTTTTTCATATCATTTTTCATTGGTGTCGATGATTCCGCCATATTGAATTGTATGAAACAAAAACAAAAAAAATCTTACTGATGTATATTGTATTCCTTAAGCATTGACTGAGCTTATTCAAAATTTATTAAAATTTGACTGAAAAAAAATTTATTTAATTTTTGGTTTGGCTTTTGGCACAAATATTGTTAATTAATTTATTAGTATCTTGCAAAATAATAATGATATTGTAAAAACTCTCGGCTAATGTTCGGTTAATCCTCGGTCAATCCGATGAGTACATCCTGAGAAACCTTCGACACCGTTTTGAAAAACAAGGTTTCACGAAAAACGCATTTAAAAAGTTCTACAACATAATCTTTATATCATATAGTGCAAATTTTAGGCTTTGTAACTCAGAAACTAACTCGAATTTATACTTAAGACCTTTTGTTCCATATTTTACAGGTTTCAAACTACTTTTTAAAGCAAAAAAAATTTTTTCAATTTTAAAAAATTTTACACCAGTTCAACTCCTTAAAATCAAACAGAAATTAGTAGAAATAACTTTAATAAAAAATATTTTTTTTTATTAAAGTTATTTAGTCAAAATAAATTTAGTAGAAAAAACGGAGAAATTTTAATAAGAATTTTAATTTAAGATTTGGTAAATCTTTATTTTTTAAATTGAAGAGAGATTTAAAGGATTTTGAATTTTGATTTTATTTTCATACTTTTTGAGATTCTAATTTGTGATCATAATTTTATTGATCTTTTTAAGAATTTATTTCTACGTATATATATTTCTTTCTACAAGCTTAATATTTCAGATTTCTTGAAACTCGACTAGATTGGTTTAATTTGAATTTCAGATTTTTAATAAGGATCTTGGAGTTTTACTTGTTGCTTTTTCTTTTTATCAGTAAGATATTTATTTCTTTTTTGGAAATAAGTTTAAATATTTCATATTATAATATATTGATAAAAACTGATAACAAGGCACTGTATAAAATTTTTAATCATTCGTTGACGAGTCTTTATTTTCAGTGTAACAATGTCTATACCCACCCATGAATTTGGGCACATATCCAAATTTTACGAATGGGAGGTAGACGAGCATGCCCGCACCGATAAAGCCAGCCGCGTACAGGTACTCGATCTGGGGCTTGTCAATAATCGGCGCCACTATGAGATACGCGGAGATGACGAGCACGAGCATAGGTATTATTAGTGGGCATTTGTACGGTCGCGGATGATTGGGCCTGGTCTTCCGCATCACCAGTAAGGCGACCATCGAGCCGCCGTAGAATATCCATGCAGTAAACGAGAAGAAGTCAATCAGCGAATCGATGTTACCGGAGAGAACCATCGCGCCTGCGAAATCAGTATTTTGGCTTACAACACATTTAGACACCTTGAAGTCGATACAGTCCATATAGCAATGGTCTCGCCTTGAAAGTAGAACAACATACGTATGTTATATAAAACAAAATCTCAAATAAGTCGGGAGGACACGTTCATGATGTAAGAAAATTTAGATACAATTCTACTCTTAGAAGATATCTAAAAGACGAGCTGAAAATTTATATCGAAAAAATGTTTAAAAAATAATTTAAAAAATCCAGAGCGATTAGATAAAGTTAAATCTCAAGCGAACGCTTGCAAATAAACACAAATAAACAGAAACGAGCAATTTGGCTTTGGTGAATGCGAAAGATAATTATCTCTCGAAGCAAGTTCGTTTAATTTTGGTCTGTTTTGATACCTGCTACGAGGGAATGGAAGATGAGGCCTGGGGCAGGAGTAAAGCGTCGCACGTGCACGTAGCTCAAGCAGTCGAGCAGATGACCCTCTCGTGACGCGGCGAAGCAGAGTCTACCCGCAGCAAACAGGGTGCCATTAGCGGATCCGAAGGTGCTGATCGCTACGGAGAGCGGCATTAGCCATGCCATCACGCCCAGAATCCGATTGCCGAACGTCTGTGAAAAAAATACCTTGATCCATCATCAGAATATAGAAACAATTAATTGATCGAAGCAAAGTCTCTCTCTGAATTCTGATAACTCAACTCTACTTGCAAAGCGATATCGAGGAAATTCATGTCTTTAGCAAACATCAATTAACAGTAACTTAGTTATAATTTCCCATTCAACAATATAATTGTAATATATGTTACTCTGTATATTATAATTATATTGTTGGATGGGAAATAACTAACATAACAGTTATGTCATTGTTAGTTGGTGTTTGATGGGATCGATTCTACCTTTTTACGCGTCACTTTCAAAAGGGATCTTTTTTTGAGAAGAGTAATATGTTCTCTAAATAAATTTGTGTTGATCATATTTACCACCGCCACGGCCTCGCTCTCAATCATTTCTGACGGTGACATGACCGCTAGATAGGATACATTGATTAGCGCGTAGCAGAGCGTGACGAGCGGTATGCCGATCATGATGGATCTGGGCAAATTCTTGGAAGGGTTTTTGATCTCCTCGGTTACATAATTAAGATTGTTCCAGCCGTCGTATGCCCAGAGGCCGGTGTAGAAAGCGGTGGCGAGGCGACCGATGTTGATGCTACTACCATCGATGGTGTCAAACGCCATTTGCAGATGCTGTGTGTTACCCTGTATCAATTTGTACGAGCCGCCGATTATCACCACGAGTATGGCCATTAGTTTGGCGGCGGTGAAAGCGTTTTGCACACCGGTGGCCAGGTTAACGCTGTAGCAGTTAATCAGGAGTATCAGAACGATCGCCAGCAGGGCGACGATCTTGACCACTTGGTCAGGTGGCTCGCAGTCGACGGTGAACGCCTCGACGGTGTACTGGGCGAACGACAGACAGATAATCGCCATCTGCGACGGCTTGAGCACCAGGGTGGACACCCAGGAGAAGAGGAAGGCAGGCGGGGCGCCGAACGCGTCCATGAAGTACGCGTACTCGGCGCCGCTGCTCGTGTTCATGGTGCCCAGCTCGGCATAGGCGAGAGCGCCGCAGAGGCTCAGCAGACCGCACGCGGTCCACACGACAAAACTGATGCCGACGCTGCCGGTACGCAACAGCAGACCCGACGGCGACACGAAGATCCCGGAGCCGATCATCGTGCCGACGATTAGAGCCACCCCACTGACGAGTCCCACCCGTCTCTTGAGGTGAACAGCGTCGTTCGCCTCTGCGTCCGTCCCCTCCAGCCCTCCGCTCCCTCCACCCCCGTCTTCGTCATCCCCCACACCCCCAGATTGGCCTTGTTGTTGTTGCTGCTGCTGCTGTTGCTGTTGACGCTGTTGTTGAGGATGGTGTAACGACGGTTTGCCGTTGCTGCTGCCGTTGACCGATTTGCCAGATCGGCAGACCAATCCACCGCCAGTGTCACCGGCACTTCCTCCCAGCCAACCCCCCAATTGTAGTTGCTGTTGCTGCAGTTGCGGCTGACCGCCGTTGCTCGTCTGCGGATCATGTCCCACGGTAGCTACAAAGGAAGAAATGTCTTGTTATTTTAGTACTTTGTGTGTTATTTACATCACAATTGAGAGATTGAATACATTGAACGTAGCCAAAGGGATGGAAAACTTGTAGTGATAAAACAATTTATATTCACGATTTATCGTTACATTATTTAACTTGTTAATTTTGAAGTAGGTAGGTGGAGTGTTTAGAACACTTAAAATTTTATCTTTATAGTTACCTTTTTAAAAAATATGCATAAAATTAAATTACATTATTTATACCCTCATGAGATAAAAGAATGTAAAAATAACTTTAAAACAATTTATCGTTACATTACTTAACTTGTTAATTTTGAAGTAGGTGGGTGGGGTGTTTGGAATACTTAAAATTTTATCTTTATAGTTATCTTTTTAAAAAATATGCATAAAATTAAATTACATTATTTATACCCTCATGAGATAAAAGAATGTAAAAATAATTTTAAAACTTCTAGGCAATACACTTTTTACTTTCTTTTCCAGAACAAAGTTTTTAAAATATGAGTGAAGTGCTGTGATCATCTATTTATTTAAACATCAAAGAAATGTACGATGAAATATACACTGAATTATTAATTAAAAAATGTCTACTCAAATGTGACAGTTAAACTAATTAAAGATTACATTCAATAATTACAATTTTGTAAATTAGATTCATTGTGCACGCTGATTGAATTTACTGTAATCTGTAGTATGATCTTCTTCATTAAAGTTACAAAAAAGCTTATCCGTATCAAGCATGTCTAAGCCTATCTTTATTCAGGTAAGAATAACTTTGTTTTTCCAGAATTAGCCAATAAATAATATGATCTTCTTATTTTCTGGATAAAAAGGTTACTTCGTTAGGAACGTTAATATTTGAAAAGCGTTTTCTAATTTTTCATTCTGAAGGCGTCTTTTTACTGTCTATTATATCCTATTAAACTTCTTTAGCACGAGTTACGTTAAGAAAGTCAAAGAACGAAGCAACAGTGGTAAACTCTTTATAAATAATATATTGATTCTGTCGAAGTTTCATAATAACAAACTTTCCTACTGCATCGAATAACAACTGATCAATCACACCTGTTTTATAAAGTAACAAAATTTATTTAAAGGATACTCGAGGTCACGAACTTAGCTACTTCGTGAGGCAATAATCAATTAAGGATATGTCAATTTGCTTAATAATTCTATTTAAGAGAAAGCATTATAGAGATTCCTATAAAGAGAGTATCGGAAAGATTGCAAACTTATAAACATCAACAATAAATATGTTCCGTAAAGTGTATGATATATCATTTTATTCTCATTATTCATGTTAAAAATGGAATGTTAAAAAAGGATAAAATTATAGACATCGTATGATACATTATAGACATCATACGCTTTTACGAAATCAGGTCAATATTTATAGATCCTCTTCCACTTGGCTAGTTTCTCTCTCTATTTTCTGTAATTTGATACAATACAAATAATTGACGAAATGTATCTACTTTATTGATCTCTTATTATTTGATTAATGTTACTCGAATCTCATCTTTTTACAGGGAAATTACAATAACTTCGCAATTTAATTTGATCACGAGGCTTATAATTCCACTCCAGTCAAAGCCGCTTTACATCAAAACTTAAAACTTCAATCAATTAAAAAAATTACAACCAATTCGATGAATCCGCGTCATCACGCTAATTGCTCGTAGAAGTTTATTATTTCTATTCATCAATGGAGTTAGGATTCCGGGAAAGAATATCATTTGAGAAATCTTGCAGCGAATGGATATGAGAGTAATGTGGTCGATAACGCTGAATATACGAAAGTTGTATAAATGAATTACGGATTAAAATCGAAATTACCACGAAAATTGAAGCTTAGGCGAATTTATATATTTTTCACGTGCCAATTCATTGCGCGTTTCGCACGTTGAGAAAGGAAAGTACTAGAAAGAATACAAAAAGCGCTACGAAACCAAATGGGCTTCGTTATATTCGATTTGTGCCGGTTCCTAAGTTTAGAGCCACCCGGCGAGAGAGGAGGATCATCGAACCACGTGGTCTATCCTCGTCCGCATAATTCGCGCTTGGAGTCTCGTTGCGGACGCGCTGGGCTCGAAATAATTCTGGATTTTGCTGCTTCTTACATAAACGCGAGAACTACTATTACGCGAGAGCTCCACTTCCGTCTCTGGTTTTCGAAAGAAAGAGACCAACCGGCGTGTGTAAATATTTCATGAAAACAAAACAAGGTTTTGAGAGCAAATGTAACTGCAACATCTGTCACACCCAATTCTTTGGCAGTGATGTGTAATCTTTTATAAAAATCTTTTTCAGAGAACCATTTTTAAAAATAGATATATAGTCCTTCAGACTTCATAATGTTTGTTTTGTTCACAGGATAGAAAATATTATTTTGTATTTTCGGCTATGATCAAGCGGGTCGTAAAAAATTCACAGGTGGGCACAGTTTATGCGTCTCTGTATTAAGACTCTTTAAATTCTTTGGAGTGAAATTTCATTCTAAAGAGTGAAAACTGAACCAGTCTTGAGAAAGAGCTCAATTTTCAATCTTTAAGAGTGAGATTTTACTCTTCAGAGTGAGAATTCGCTCTAAAAGATTTTCTACAATAAGCCATTAGTAATAAATAAGAAATCAGAGAAGCTAGAAATTGCCCAGACAACACAAAGTATCTAAAAGAGAGACATAAGACGTCTTTGGCGTCTTAAAGACGTCTTATGTCTCAATGTGTCGTCTGGGGATCAATCGTATGTAGTCGATTATTCTTTTCATATTCGACTGTGATTGGTTTCTGATTTATTACGAATCTTATTGTATAGAAAGCCTCTAAAAGTTTAGAGAGAATATAAATCGCTTCGTTGCGAATATTTCGTCAAATTTACTATCAACATTAACGCGCATGAAGATTCCACATACCGGGTATCGTAAACGAGCAGATCGGCGAACACGGATAATTACTCGAGGGTGCGACGAGAAGACCGACCGGCCCGTACCGCATCCCTCTCATTTACTGGGGTAGCGAACTGCCGCGCGCGATTGGCCCGTGACGCCGGCTACCACGTGACCGTCCGCCGCCAGCCAACCCCTGCGTAATCCCGCGTCACGTGACGGCGATTATCATATTATTATCACGGAGTCACGGCGTCGCGACCGTAATAGTTCGCGTGGCGGTGCGCCAAGAAAAGCACCGCGTCGCCAGATTCCTCTTTTGCGGCAATAAATAACGGACGAAAAATGCGCGCGAAACTCGTCGACCCCGGCGGCGCGGGAATTTCGAAGCGTGAAGCGAGGGCGGATACACGTTCCCCTTCTCAAGGTGACCCCGCTCCAACGCTATCGATCTCATCGGATGCGCACCTACATTCCTTTTCGCGGCGCTCCGCTTCGACGTCGCTCGCGAAAATCGAACTGTTCATCGAGAAACGAACAATGAGCAAATGAGATAACGCGTTTTAGAGAAGAGTACGCTGAAAAAAAAATATCGAATCTTATATACATATTTCTCTAAACAGAACTAAGGAAACAAATAAATATTTACTCAAAAAATGATGAATCAAATTCATGGTTCTTGTATTAAATAAATATAGAGGAAGATCACCGATATACCGACATACCGCTTTGTTTTTAGACAATATTTCTTAAACAAGAGGTAAAAATACAACTTCAAAAACATAAATACAAAGTAAAAAGTGTCTTCTATCAGATAGTACAAGCAATTTTTATAATACTGTTTGCAATTTTGCAATAATTCAGTTTTTCGTAAGTTATGCAAAAATGAGCGCCTGACAAATTGGGCTCCAAAACTGACATAGTAGGCAATAATACCAACATTCCTATTTTATAAATAAAGATATACCCTATTCTGTAAAGAAAACTAATTTATGAAACTATAAACATTTAAAATGACATAATATTATCAATAATACAGTCACTATTATTTTAATTACGCAATTTGCAAAAGAATACCGTAAGAATTTTCTTCTCGGATTCATAGAATTGGTTTTTAGCTGATTTGGTATAGAAATAAACCACAAATATATGAATTATGAGTACTTAACTTCTTTAATTAGCTAAACAGATCATGATTTTATTAGTATTAATAAAGTGCAATAGTTAGTTTCTGAG